TTCCTATTATGTGATAACTTGATATCATATTTATCATAGTTATTTATGGAATATTTGATGTATTTCCTTAATTGTTACATCAATTGTTGGATTGTGTGGTTTAATGCACCGGTATGGGACGGTGGCATTCTAGGGATGGATTAACTTATTAGTTAAGTCCTACCTATTTTATATAAGGGAATGGATTAACTAAAATGTTAAGTCCTACTTATATTTAAGTCAGGTCAGCTGAACAAGTTGAATGACTTATGGATGATTAATTTATTATATAAGGGAATGGATTAACTAAAATGTTAAGTCCTACTTATATTCAAGTCAGGTTAGCTGAACAAGTTGAATGACTTATGGAGGATTAATTTATACTGGATAGGATGGTTACTAGATTTTATATATATAAGTATGGTGCCATGATATGAGGTTGAGTTTCAGGATCAATGGTTAGGGCGCGTATATCGCCAGGGATGTGTAGCTAGATATAGTGTAGTTGTGTACCCTGGTAGGTCTAGGTACTCATGCCCACTATACGTGCGTTTTGCATGTTGCCTACTATTCAGGTTGAGACAACCCTATAGTCTAGTGAGGTTCCTTTAGTGTGTGTATATATATATACGGACTACTAGTTACTGTTGGATTGACTAGGATGTATACGTGTATCGGATCTCTGCTTGGACTGTAGTAGAGTAGAACTTGTTTGTGGGCCTGACCCACCATTATTTTTCAGGTGTTCGTCACGAGTAGAGGTTGTTCGTGCTGAGTGGGGATCAGTCTACTTCATTCTTCCGATGCTACATAGGAGTTCCTTTATGATTCAGTTTCCTGTTTTAGATTACTGTCATTTGTTTAGTTTGGATTTTCTAGGGGTCCACACAGTATAGATTCCCGAGTTGTATTTTGGAGGATCAGTTGTATCAGAAGAGTTTATTAATTAATGGAAATATATTATGAGGTTTATTATTAGATTATCATTTTAGTTTCTTATCAGCATTTTATTTATTCTTTTTTATTCTTTTGTACTCTGTGTTCGTTTATTATCAATTTGTTTTGATATCCTCGGGTATTCGGGCGTGGGCCTGGCCAATCCGCATTCGGAAATTCGGGGGTATCACAGTGTAGGTCACATTTTAGTCGATTAATGCTATTGCAACTTGGAAGGAATGATAGTGACTCAGTGAGAAATGCTACGGGAAGCTGGAAAGGAATGATAGTGACTCGGTGAGTTTTTATGCATCACCCAACTAGCTAGCCATGGAAAAGGGATTGACTAAATGATTCAGTAACTTAGTGATTGATGTAGAAGAGATTGGCAATGATTTTGGAGCCGGTTTGGACTGTCAGGTTAAACAGGCGGATTGACACAGTATTGTCATGATTATTTTGACGAACCCATCTTGATCTAAAAAGACCCAAAACTGATCGGAAATAGCCTAACTCATAAAACTTAGCAGCAAAGCTGCTAAGGTAAGATGTTTTTATGCTGAATTCAATCGTTTAGGTTGGGAGAATTGCATTTTCTCAATTTTTGAATATTTCAAAAAAAAATTTAGAAGTCTAAACGAATTTGAAATACTTTCCTTTTTGGTATTTAGTACATTTTAGCAATTAGATTTTTTACCTTATTTTTACAAAAGTTTTGGAGAAAGTTTGATTTTGAGTAGGAAACGGATAGTTTACTTATGTTTTTAGGGTTCTTTATTAAAAATACATGTACTGTAGAGCTAATTATAAATTCAATTAATTATCAATAATATATCAGAGTCTGCAAATTTTTTTCCAAAGTGGAGTTATAATTACCCTTGTTTGTTATGAATGTTTCGAAGCTTCGTTACATCAGAAATAAAAAATGCAAAACCTATGACATTTATTTATAATAACGTAGGTTGCATATTAGTCCATGGTTGCCACTTGGAAGGAATGATAGTGACTCAGTGAGAAATGCTACCGGAAGTTTGAACGAATGACAATGACTTAGTGAGTTTCCATGCATTACCCAGCAAGCTAGACGTGGAAAAGGGATTGAACCATCAAGTCAAACGGACAGATTGACACAGTTTTTTTGAGATAATTTTGACGAGTCCATTTTGATATGAAAATACCCTAAGGTAGGGTGTCTTTAAGCCAAATTCAATCATTTAAGGTTAGGAAATTACGTTTTTTCAATTTTGAATATTTAAATATTTGTTAGAAATTTAAATAGATTCGAATTACTTTCTTTTTTGGTATTTAATACTAGTACGTTTTAGTAATTAAGTTTTTCACCTTATTTTTAAACAATTTTTGAAGAAAGTTTGATTTTGAGCATGAAACTGCTAGTTTACTTATGTTTTTAGGGTTCTTTATTATAAATACATGTAATATAGATTTGATCATTAATTCAATTATTAATAATATATTAGAATTTTTTGCAAATTTTCATGGTTATTTATTTTGAAAGAAAGTTTGATTTTGAGCATGAAACTATTAGTTTCCTTGTGTTTTTAGGGTTCTTTATTGTAAATACATGTATTGTAAAATTGATCATTAATTCAATTGTTAATAATATATCAAAATTTTCAGCAAATTTTGGTGGATTTAAAATTACCCTTGTTCTTTTTGTGAATGTTTTGTATACTTATGTTGCTCCAGAAAAAAAAAATGCAAGACCCATGACACTTGTTTTGATAGAAAAGTCAACATCAACGTGTAAATAGAATATTTTTGAGTCTTCTCAGATTTTTCCTTACGTTTCGTGGAATTCTAGGCTAACAGCCTAACACACCTTCAGGTATTGTTTGAATAAGAAAAATTTTAAAAACTAATTTTAAGTGTTCTTCAAAGCACAACGATTAAGGATTTTTAGTACTTTTAAAATTTTAGGTTTTCATTGTTCAATGAAAAGTGAAACCTCCGTCACTTTTGACTTTTCATCGCTCAAAAATACATATATATATTTGAGTGTTTTTCTTCCAAAAGATGAATAAAAAATTAATATATTATTATTATCTTGAATAAAGTGGAGTAGTCAAGATACATGTCACTTTTTTTTGGTCTTTATGATATGTATAAATATTTTTTTATTTTTTTTTAAGAATTATGATCTATACCCCTCATTTCTTAATTATTTTTTAATTTAAAAAGCACTTAGAATGGGACATACTGTTTATCTCATATCTTTCGAGATTAGAATCCTCTTAAGTAACAATATTTAAAAGGTAGAATCCAATATTGAATTAACGAGGTGGAGGTTCACCTTTCATCCACACTCCACCTCTTCCATCCTTCAAAGCTATTGGTACCAAAACTCGTAAATTTTGGTGGATTATTACCCTTAATTTTTTTTTTTTGTGAATGTTTTGTAGCTTATGTTGTGTTAGAAATAAAAAATGCAAGACCCATGGAATTTGGGTTCTCGCTACTACAACTTGGAAGGAATGATAGTGACTCAGTGCAAGATGCTACTAGAAGTTAGAACGAATGACGGTGACTCAGTGAGTTTCCATATATCACCCAGCTAGCTAGCCGTCGAAGGAAATGACCATTTCGGTCTTGGCAAAAAAGTCAGCCTCAACTTGTAAATAGAATATTTCCGGGTCTTCTCAGATTTTTCCTTACCTTCGTGGAATTCTAGGCTAACAGCCTAACACCTTAAGGTATTGTTCTTTAAAGCACAACAATTAAGAATTTTTAATTCTTCTAAAATTTTAGGTTTTCATTGTTCAATGAAAAGTGAAACGTCTATCACTTTTCATTGCTCAAAAAAACACACACACACACGAGTGTTTTTCTTCCAAAATATGAATAAAAAATATAATTTATTGTAATTATCTTGACTGAAGTGGAGTAGCCATGCTAGTTAAGATACCTGTCACGTTTTTTTGGTTGGTGAAATTTTTTATTTTGTTATTTTACAAGTGTCAAAATCAAAGTCCATTTTTTTTTTTTTTTTTTTTTTTTTTTTAAAGAATTACGATATTTACTCCTCATTTCTTAATGATTTTTTAATTTAAAAAGCACTTAGAATGGGCATGAATATTTATCTCATATCTTTCGGGATTTAGAATCCTCTCAAGTGACATTATTTAATAGGTGAAATCCAATACTAAATTAACAAGGTAAAGGTTCACCATTCATCCACACTCCACCTCTTTGATCCTCCAAAGCTATTGGTACCAAAACTTGTGGAGTCCACCCGCATGATCCAATAATAATAATAATAATAATAATAATAATAATAGTAAATAAGTAAATAAATTGTGGTGTGTGTGAGTTAGTGCTGTGTGTGATTATTATTATTATTATTATTATTTGGCAAGAAATTCAAACACGGGTATTTATTTATTTGTCCTTTTGGGATTTAAACTTCTAATTTGAGAGATAAAAATAAAAAATAAAAAATAAAAAAAGGTTCGGTTTGGGTCACTTCTAATTTTTTTACAGCAAAATTGCATTTTCAACCACACTTAATTTAAAATAATTATTCCCGGGACAAAAATTGTTTTCATTACAAATATAAACATAGTACATGCATATACGAAAACATGTTATATACTTCGACTTTCTGCATTTACTAATTTATATTCTAACACTTTTTACCTTATATATATACACACGAAAACATTTTCATACATATTTTCATACATATTAACTGTTAAATCTACATGACCAGTAAATTTCTTTATATGCATATTATGCATGTCTTTAGAATCGATAAATTATTTTCAAACTTTCAAATGAACGCTGAAAATTTAGAAGAAAAATTGATTTCCAGTGTGATAATTACTTCAATATCTATATGATCTTCATAAAAAATAAAAATAAAAAAATAAAAAATCATATCACAAATTATCAGATGCAATATCTTATCATCTTTTACCAAGTTCAAACTTTCACATTGGTTCTAATTTTGCAGAAAGCCTCCACAGATAGAACCATTTCATTTGAGTGGACTCACAATTTTTTGAAGGGAGAAACAGTTACGAGTCTGAATTAAATCTAACAAAAAAAACTAGGAAAGGGGGAAGCGATTTTAAAATAAAATCTATAAACTTGAATTACTTACAATTTTCTACATACTCCAGGTCAGCCTATCTTTTACAAGAGGAAAATTTTCAGAGTTGCACATAAACAATGGTAAAATGAAGCACCATGTAAAAGAGTAGGAAATTGAGGCCATGGACAACGAACAAATAATTTCATCCAAAGAAGCCCCATGTCCATCCCGAAAGCCGATACACTTCGTTTTTTTTTTCCGCAGCATCAGTAACAATCAGCTCAATTCTCCAGCGCGCCCAGTGCTTTCATATCCTCCAAGAAGGCTGTATATGAGTCATCAATGCTCTGTGGTTTTGGTGCTGCCGACTCTGGTTTCACCACTGTAGGAGCAGCTACTGGTGTGGCGCCTGGTGCCATGTTTGTGAGTGATGGCTTTGGTTTTGCCTTTGGAACAGCAGTCTCTCTCCTTACGCGAACAGATGCAGGAACCTGTGTGCAGACCAAGAAATAGACTTAACATGGGGAGAATTAAGCAATCAATTAGAGTCCCAAATTAATGGTAAGCTCTGCTCCTAATCATGATGCTTGGCAAGGTGAGATAGTGTGTGCAAATGTGGTCATACAAACCCATTGAAACTCCGGCTAATGATTATAAATGCAAAGCCCACAGTAGTTTTGAACTTTTTAGGCACTATTTGAAACTTAAGATTAGGATATATGAGCAATAACAATAACAGGATGAATCCAAGTAAACCTAAATACACTAATTTGAGTACCAAAAATAAAATAAAATAAAATAAAATAAAAACATTCTTGCTTCAATTTCTCTTATAAAATTTAAATAAAATGTATTTTTTCTAAAACAATATTGTCTTATACTTTTCAATTTTTTTAGAATAATCAATATTTTAGCAACATTAGAATGAGAAGGTACAGAACCAATGACATAATGAGGAGCCTTGCTCAATTGTATAATGTCTAGGAAAGATGGGTAAGTACAGGCCCACATGACTACCACCTCATGTACTACTCCTATGCAGAAAAGCTCCCAATAAGTCAGCAACTTCATAGTATTGGCACAACTAAGAGTACGAATTTCTAACATATGAACCCGTTTCTGGTGAACAAGAATACTTATAATACAACAAGCTTTTCAACTTCAAAAATGATCCAAATTCCAACACCAATGTTATTTACTTCACTGTATTCGTTGTTCTTCATGATTTTTACTTCTATTATTAACAAATTTGGCAGGTTAGTTGGCTAACAGCTAATAACTGAAACAAGTTCAAGTCTACAAATGACATATTACCCGTGCAGGATGTACAGAGGGACCAACTGGCACCTACATTCCCAAGTGCAATTATAAAGCCTTTGTCTTGGTTCACCTAGCAATTAATGGTGATTAGGAATTTCAAATTCATTTATAATTGGAATGGGTAGATATAGCAACCACAGAACTCCATGAGACCTGAACCTCAGCAATGCTGACTCTAAATCTCAGAGTGGTTGAACCCTTGGTTTCTTTTTTGGTAGTAAGTCAGTTGAAGGGGGTTGGGGAGTGAATTCTTTTTATTCATTGTTTCTGAAATGTGTTCTTTATTATTATCAATATATAAATGCATGTGTTTGTATAGATATATATGTATCTATATATTTTAGGGAGAGTGGATAGGGAAGTACCCAACAAAACATCCCCATAAAAATTATCAATATATATAAAGCGAGAACCCAAATTCCCAATCTTTAGTTACATGAACAAAATAAATCAGAATTTTCCCATTGGGTCTGTCTCCTAACATATATGCAATACACAAGTTTCTATAAAAGCTTCTTAGATTATGTTACTACAGTTTAAAATAATATTCCAAATTTTTGTTTATCAGTTAATCTCACTCTGGACAGGCTACATTTCAATAAATGGAAATAAAGATCCCATTCAAATTCCACATTCTAAGAACTCTTAATGGATGACAACATTCCTGTAAGAGTTTGACCGAAAAATAATGAGAAACAATAGAAAGCACAAATTATATGCAAACATGTTAACAGATTCACCATAAAGCGGCATGGTAATTCATGAAAACCGATGCAATATATAACAGAATAACTCACCATGGAAGTAAGCTCTGGAGTGTGCTGAGCTAGTGGCCTCTTAACAACAGTAGATGCAGCTGATTTGATATATGATGGCTTTTGAGGGGCAAAAGGCCTTGCAGCATTATCATCTAGAAAAGTAGGTGGAGGTCCTGGTGGAAGTGGTGGTCTCATCATGGGGGGAGGAGGTCCAGGGGGAAGTCCAAAAGGTGGCCTTGGAACTAGTGGGACCATAATTCCAGGAAGGCCAGCAGCAGCTAATGGTGGCCGCATGTCTGGTGGAGGTGGTGGTGGCGGCAAACGTGAAATTCCTGGGGGTAATACATCAGGCTGAAAAGGCGGGACCAGAGCAGGTCCGGCCACTGGAGGCTGGTGTCTTGGAGGAGGTGGTGGGGGAACCATTTTAGAAAGATCCTTTGTCCCTGAAGGATTTTTGTCATCAGATTCAGATGGTATGCCTTCAGACTGATTATTTGCTGTCTTCAACGGCAACCCAGGCGGTGGGGGAGGTGGAGGAAGCAAGGTAGTCACCTGATGAGAGGGAGAAAGAGATGCTATCACTTTCTAGGCATCAGCTAGAAAAAGAATAAATTTCATTGTGTACAAATATAAAGTTCATGGGTTTTGGATAACTATGTATACTTTTTCAAATTACTTTTTTTGGGTGGGGATAGTTGATTGTTAAGTTTTGCTAGACAAAAAAGTACACACTTGTTCGATCCATTAACTTCACAAAAATAGGTCATTTAATTATATTCTCAAAGAAACATGCCTATGTTACTCATCCAAGAGGTTAAGTAACATGCTTATGTTTCTCATCCAGAAGGTTAAGTCCACATTTCAATTGAAAATCTGTGTCTTAATTCAGTGAAGGAGTTATGGCAAGAAAATAAATCATTTTTTCTTAAGTCAGGGAAGGAGTTATGTGAAAAATATATAAATAAAAGGAAGAGCTTACTTGGACTGCCTCTTTGGAGGTTCGATCATCTGACTTCACGAAATCATTTTTTTCTTTCTCACTTCCCCCAGTGCCAGGTGGAGGTGGCTGAGTAGAATGAAGGAGGGGTGGTGGTGGAGGAAGGGGTGGGTGTATTGCAACTTGTTCTTTAGGTGGGGGTCCAGGAGGTGGCGGTGGAAAAGGTGGCGGAGGTGGAGGAGGTAAAGGCAAAGATGCAGGCCTAATAGAGCCATCACCAGCATCCACATCATCAGGAGGAGGTGGAGGTGGAGGTGGAGGCGGAGGAGGAACTGCTAAAGCAACATCCTCTGACTCTGACTTTGATGATGATGCATCACCACTTGATCCAGCTGCTGATATAGGAATTCTGGGTCCTGAAATAAAAAGCCAAGAACAGAATCAGAGAGAGAGAGAGAGAGAGAGAATCAACATATTTTAGTATGGTATAAGCAGTAAAACAACCTATTGATGATTTGTACATGGGAGGCTTTCCGGGTGGCGGTGCTCCCGTAGGGTTCAGTGTGGGATGATAGTATACCGAGTCCTGCATGAAATAATCACAAAATGTGGGTCCTTTATATGCATAAAAGTTCAATATTTTAGCATATATGCGCGAGGTAAGAAATTACTTCAGGCTTTGGGTGCTTGACTCTTTCTTCTTCTTCTGCAGTTGGCCGTCTTCGGGGAGGTCCTAAATGACTGCATCACATAAAAGACAAAACAATACTATCAAATGAAAACATATAAAGGTTGAAAAAAATTGTAAATTGTAACTCTTGTGCAAAACAAGATGAATTGAAAAAGAAAAGTCTTCTTCACCTGAACATAACTGGTGCCTCACCCTTTTCCTTCAATTTCTCTTCATATTCCTGCCCAGATGATTCAAGAAGACTGACCATCACATACAGATGTCTCAATACTAGTAAATGCGAGATTATTAAAGTGCACAAATTAAGATATGAAATACAAAGGCTGACCACCATTAAATGTGTCAGTTGTTAATTGAGGAAAATCATCATCATCCTTGCCTTAATCCCGTATGAATGGGGTAGGCCACATGAATTCTCTCTCAAAGCTTTTCTATTACATGGCCAATTCACCTACTATATTTAACTTTTTAAAATCATTTTTAATAACCTCTTGTTATTTTTGGCCGCCCTCTCTGTCTCTTACCTTCTATTACAACTAGTCTTCCTTGTTTGACCGGCTTGTCATTAGGTTTCCGATGTATATGTCCAAACCATCTAAGTCTGCTCTCTCAACTTTTCTTACCAATGGGTGCTACCGTGCTAGTAACCCTATCACTTCTAATCACTCCACTCGTCCATCTTAACATCATTGAGGAAAATGGATTGTGATAAATAATAATAACAACAACAACAACTCAATCCTTCCAGCACATTCTGTGAAATTTGCAATTCTACACAATTCCTCTATTTTACCTTTCTAACTATTGAATTCTAGGGGTAAGGGCTCATTGGGAATCAAACTAAAAAGAGAATTGCTTCTTATTACCACAATTCCCAGAATGTATTTCACCTAAATAACAATGTTCTGGTGATTCCAAGACAAAATAGGTTCCAACAGTCTGCTTGGAATAGCAGAGAAGTACCATCCATTTTTTTTAATGAAATTATTCCACTGACCAGAGGGGAGGAAACCTGTCATACCACAATTTTGAATCAAAAGAGAGATTTCAGGATACGACAGATCTATTAAATCCAAGGTGTATGCAAATTGCCATAATTCCCATAATGTAATTCACCTAAACAAAATGTTCTGGTGATTCCAAGAAAAAATAGGTGCCAACAGTCTGTTGGAATAACAGAGAAGTACCATCCATTTTTGTAATTGATCTATTCCATGACCCGAGGGGAGGATACCTCTCATACCACAATTTTGAATCAAAAGAGAAATTTCAGGATACGACAGGTCTATTAAATCCAATGTGCATGCAAATTTGTTAAGTGCATGGGAATTGAAGTTTGACATAAAAAATAAAAAAAAATATTGCAAGTAGATTATAAGTGTAGCACTTTTTAGGAAATATAAGTGGCAACAAGAAAATTATGCATGAACTTCCTTACGTACATTAATAAAATAAATAGGGCAAAAGAAAAAAAAATTCCTTGAACTATCGAGTTTTTTTGTAAATAACCTCCTTGAATTATTAATTGGCAAGAAACTCCTTGAATTCACTCCAAATCTAGCAATAACCCACCTACCATTCATTGCCCATTAAAAAAGAAACAGCAGAGTGATCACGTGGTCTAGTTTTCTTCTTTAATGACAACTATAACCTTTATCTCCTCTCTTTACCGGAATGGGACCATCCAATGACGATGGGCTTCTTTACTGTGTTCTCAATACCATCATTACTCTCATATTCTTCACAAGGCAGAAACTTTGAATCCACACACACACACACACACACACACAAAAAAAAAAAAAAAAAAAAAAAGGTCTTGGCTTTGTAGAGATAAATAGAGAATGGAAAATTAAAATAAAATCGTTGCAGAGAAGGAAGTATAAAGAGAGAATGTAAGGGTGTGTGTGTGTGTGTGTGTGTGTGTGTGTGTGTGTCTATATATATAGCGAGAGAGATGCAGAGAGTTGCAGTGGAGGTGGTGAGTTTAGAAGAGAAAAAGGAAACTCCAAAACCTACATAGAGCTTCTCTCACCTCTGTTTTCCCTCGTCTCGTCTCTAGTTGCTCTCCGAATACCATGCTCTGTTACCTCTGTATTTTGTTCATAAGAACTCTTCCTCTCCCTTCCTATTTTCTGTTTCTGTTTGAATTTAAGCTTCAATACACAAAAGTAAGTTCCCAAAAGCAAGAGGGAGAGAGCAAGGGTTGCATCCAATCTGATTCAAAGATTGAACCTTTCTGACTTTGCTAATGGCGACATTGACAGTTAAACCAAATAAAACCAATTCTAACTCCTTCGAATTTGTCATTGAATAAAAATAAATAAATAAATAAAAATGGTTGACAAAGATTGTTTTGAAGCTTACACCGCACATACCCAACACCCACGCACACCCAATCAACACCTCTCTCTCTCTCTAACCCTACTTCATGACTCATGAGCCACCGCCGCGGCAAAGTCAACACACACCATTGATGGTGAATGGTCTGATTGTGCATCTAGTTTTGATATGGTGGCGGAGCGAGTGGATGTGGATTTGAGACATTTTACATAAATATATATATAGAGAGAGAGGGATAAAATGTTCTTCATTCCCCACTCCATCAAATTTTCATTACACGGAAGCCAAACTTTTTTCAAAATGTTTCCAAGCAAATTGATATCTATTGCAGATGGAGGGTTATGAGAGATTCTGGGAATCTCATTTCTTCAAGTTAAAACTCACAAAGAGGTTTTGGAGGTGAGAGAAAGAGAGTAATCTGGGTCTTCTTTGTAGTCCTTTAGCAATTCAAGTTCTAATATTAAGCTTAAATGGAAGATTCATAGTTGTTAAAGGCGCGCCTAGGCTCCAAAAAAGCCCCAGGCTTGTCAAGGCTCAGCTAGAGTGCCTCGATCTACTACAGGCCAGGCCCCTTCAATCAAGCTCACATAAAGCCCTCAGGCTCACATAAAGCCCTCAAGCTCACGCCTTTTAGTAGGCTCCAGGCTCAAAAAAGGCGTGCCTTGTATTTTTTAATCATTTATTCATTTCATTTTCTTTTTTACTTAATGACTACTTAATTAAAAGGTTTTGTATCATATATTCCATTGTTTAACCTTACGAAATATTTGTCAAAATTCATAAATTTATGGTTCACTACTTACATTAAGTTCAAATACTGCTTGATTATGAATATATATAATAATATATGTTTAAATTTGCATTATTATATACGTGTGCCTTACTTCAATCAGGCTCGCGCCTTATACTGCGCCTTGCGCTTAGGTTCCAGAAGGCCTTTAGCGCCTTAGTGTGCCTTGAGCCTTTAACAACTATGGGAAGATTTGAGAGAAAAAAGTAATGTTTTTCCCTAGTGATCCACTGATCCTTGCTGGTCACTTCTCCCATGTACTCTATTTATTTAAGTTTAAGCTTGTATGAATTAAAAAACAACACATTCAGGAAAAACAAAAAACAAAAAACAAAAAAAATTGAGAGAAAAATTTCTCTCTTGTTAGCGATACGAAAATATATACATATATACACTGATGTGATGTGTCTTCACATTCTTCATTGAGATGAATTTGAAGAAAATTGTGAAGAGTGAGAAGGAATACATATGTATAGTGTGATTAAGATTATATATATATAGCATATTCATATACACTAATTCCATGTATCTTCATATTCATCACTGGGATGGATTTGAAGAAATTTGTTAAGAGAGAAGGAATATGCAATGATTCATGGTCAGTGGGATTAATATTTCATATAGGTACATATATATATATATATATATATATATATATATATAATATTTGTATACATGTATTATGTACATACCAAGAATGGGTATACGTAGATGCAAGGGTAATACTAGCATATTACTAATATTAAGTGCGTGACATCAGGGATTTCCATTGTTCACTCACGTTGACTATCAAAAAGGGAGGTCAGTTTTACAAATTTTAATTTTCAAGGGAGGTTAGAGTAATTTTGAAACCATAAGGGAGGCCGGTGTAATTTTGCAAAATGTCAGGGAAGGTCCATGAAATTTACCCAAAATATAAAGGGATAAAATTGTCTAATGAAAAATAGTTGCCTAAAAAATGAAACCTCTACAAAACACAGTTTAAAAAGCTAGAAATCTTAGCTTCATTCAAAAGCTCGACAGAGCTAAAATTGGCAACCATTAAAAGTTCTTTTAGTGGTTACCAAACACATCTAAACATTTTTTAAAAAAAAAATAAAATCGCTTTTAAGTGGTTGAAAAGTAATCCCGAATGGGCTATTAGTGATAAAATTTGAGAAAGTATAGTTAGGTGGTATGGTCATATACAAACGTAGATCCGAATATGCACCGATTAGAAGAGGAAGGGTGGGTTGTTTGTCTAGAAGGTAAGTACTTATCAAAAAAAAAAAAAAAAGAGGTAAGCGACAGAGAGATGGTTGAGAAATGGTATATAATAGGAAAGAATGGAAACAGAGAATTCATGTGATGTGGCCGACCCCATCCATGTGGGACAAAGGCAAGGATAATAATGATGGTTTTAGAAATATAAGACTAGTGTTTGTTTGGGTAAATTACATTGGCCACTTTTCAGTTGACACTTGACAATATTACATGCAGATAGAACTTTGTAATTTTTCCCGGTCAACCTCCCCTATAGTTTTGACTTTCATATTCCTCCCTTGCTGTCAATTGGATGGACTGTTAAAGAAGTGATTGCTGGAAACTCCAGATAACAAATTATGGAGATTGGATAGTAAACTGAAGACCACTGGATAAAGGAATAGGATTGATTAATAAAAGGAAGAACATAGGATTTCACTTAAAGTTCCTCATGCTCAATTTGGTACAAAAGTAGGAAGATTCGAAGGTATGAAGAAAAAAATCTAGGATTATACCCAATGTTCTTTGTGCTCCATTTGGTACAAAGAATGGAAAATTGGAAGGGAGGGAAAGTAGGAAGGATGGGAGAGATATCCTTAACGGAAGTAAGGATCCTTTCCTTCATGCTGTCTGGTTGAGTGGAAAGGAAATGCATAGGAGGAGAATTTGTATTATGCCATGATTTGACCATTACAGCCTTGATAATTAAGAAAAAGGTTTAAGTACATTGACCGGGGGGGGGAGGAGAATATGGTGAAGGTGCTTAACTCCTCTTTCCCATCCACTTTTTGGAAAAAAGTATAATGGTAGTCCTCGAGGGGGGCCTCCCCCCTCTTCCCTTCCTTTCCCTTTGGCCTTTTGCCTCTATAAACAAGGATCTCCTCCCTCCTTCCTTTCTTGTTCTCCCCAACCTTCCCTCCATTTTCTCCCAGCTATACATAGGATTAGGTTTCATTTCTTCATGGATCAAGTTGCATAGCAGAAACAAAATATTTTATTCTCTAAAACTCAGCTCTATTGATAGGAAAATAATAAGCATTTATATTTCCTTCCAACAGGACTAGGTTTTCAGAGTTAGGAACTCCGAAACCTTGACAATTAAGAATATTTTAAACCTACTGAGGTCACATATCAAGACACGGTAACAAGACCCAAAACAATACCAACCACTACTACTTCCCAAATCCAGCAAATGTGAAATTACCAAAATTAAAATTGACACCCTGAAATTATGAAAACAGAACACTACTAAAACCGATCGCAGCAAATCAACCAATGGTGAGCATAAAATAAGACTAGATTCAACCCAAATCTTGATCACTCACCAACTAAAATGGGTACCATAAAAGATCCCCAGTTGCATTAGTACATATCAACAAAATTACTGCTTCTTACTGAAAAGGAAAAAGGTTCCAGCAACGCATTAGTTTAGTTTGACATATTAAGGCTATTACCTTCCGCTTTTTCATAACAAGGTTCAATGTGTCCTCAAGTTGTCTCTTCTTATGTTTTCTAGCTTTATCCAGAGCACCATCTGCCTCTGCACCAATAGATAAGAACTTTTATTATTTTATTGAAAGCTACTCAACCAACCTGTATATGTGACAAATTTTGCAAGAACAAAAAATATAGTCGAGAGTCTGCAATAAATATGCCTAGAAAGAAACTTGTCAGGCTGTATACAGAAAATTTGAAAGATAGATCTTCAAAGCTTGGGTGGAGCAAATCCCCTCTCTAAAAGTTCCTAAGGATGGATTCATATAATTTTCTTTTTCAAGTTTACTTAATTTTATTGATGATGCAGTGCTTCCTGTTTTGAAGATTTTTTATTGAGATCAAAGAATTATCTTTTATGAAAGAAAAAAGAAAGAAATGAGCAAGTAAAAACACAGTCCAACAAATTGTGCAACCAAAACTATATATGACCACAGGCAAGTGCTTGTGGTAATGAAAATATCAGATTAGGCCTAAATAAGTCTAATTTTGAGGCATGGCAGATTTGCATTTATATACAGATATAACTTACTCATCAGTTCCAACTTGTCAATCTGCTCTTTCAGCGTCTCAGGATCCTTCTTTAAAATTCCCACCTCCCTCACCTTTTTCCTTTCTTTCTTGTTCTGTTAAATAAAAATAACATAGTAAGGTAAGTGCTGAACAAATCCAGACCACACACTAAAACAATCAATGACAAAAACAAGGTGTCACCTAAAGAGAAGTACAGCAAAATGCATGAACGAAAATTACAGAAGGGCATTTTTAGATACCTAAAAACCTATATTTAAATAGAAAAAAAGTGATTGACCAAAATATATAATAAATTAAAAGCAATCAAACGTGTGTTACATGGACTCTTCAAAAGTAGGTTAAGACCAGTGTTGTACACACAATACTCAACCATAGGTATGAGGTGTGAGTCCAACACTTCTGGTCAGGCATGAACCTAGAATGCATATCCAATTATTCAATTTTATTATATTATTGCTTCAAAAAGAGTGAAATTGTTATATTAAACAACCTAAACAGCATATCCAATTATTCAAATTTATTATATTATTACTTCTATACGAGTGAAATGTTTATATTAAACACTATATTTTATAAAAGCTTATTTTAGTCTAGAAAATAAAATAAAATAAAATAAAATATTAAATATTATAAATAGTTAGTAATGTTTCTATGTCCTTCAGTTTGGGGATTTGACATGTCTGACACTTGAATACATACTCGTACCCGACACACACACATACACGAGTCTGTAACTTAAAATCAAACTATTAAGTATAGAACAACAATAGGGCATCACATCAACACAATTCTGTAAATGTAGCATACCAATTGAGCTAAAAGCTAGTGTTAATTTTCATGGATGCACACATACACACACAGATAACAAGGAAAAAGCAAAGCTGAAAAGGAATTCATATTAATATCCTCAAATTATGTCAGAAACTGCAAATCTAATTTAAATTCTTGGCTAAAATTCGACATTGAATTCAATCAAATGTCTTATACAGCTTTCCATTTGTTTATAATTTCATATACAAAACTGAGTAAGAATAAATAAAAATGAAATAAGATTTTCAAATCTTTTTTTTTTCTTTGAAAATAAAAACAATGCACCTCAACTAAACCAAATACTATTTCTGTCATTCTTAATTGAGTAAAAAGAAAAATTGCAGTTCTCTTCTTTTTCCAGCCACTAATCAGAATTTGAGCGATTTAGGGCACCAATCTGAGCACTCCAAGAATAAATTGGAACACAATAAATATCATAAAATATTAATACATATATTATATGTTTTTGTATGCAAGTAATATATGAAACGAATAGAAAAAGTTTGTTTTTTAAGGTGATTAGTGATTACCCTTTTCAATTCCTTCTTGCGAAGCTCCTTGCGATAGGCGTCCGTAGGGTTCATGACTTTACCTCCCTTTGTGGTCTTCATGTTGCCCTCTCTCTCTCTAAGATCTTCTTATTTCTTCTTCTTCTTCTTCTTCGATTCGATTCGACGTCGAATTGCGGGCAAATTCAGGCTTACAGTAAGAAGAACACTCTCTCTCTTGTATATATGTATATATACAGTATATATATGCGACCTAACTTTTTTTTTTTATAAAAAAAATGTATTTCAGTCGGAAAAAATCTAAACAAGAAAAGAGAGCAAGGCTGTGGGCCCGTCCAGTCGGCCGGCGCGTTGCTAGGGATGGACTCGATGTCAAACTGACCCGTCCGGTACTCCCAGATCATTTTGGGCTTAAAAAATAAAAATAATAAAAAAAAAAAAGACAATTCTTGGGTCTTTTCATTGATGGACTTTATCCAATACAATTTAGAGATGTGTTTAAATTTTTAAAAATGGGTTAAACTCAAATCTTTTTTTTTTTTTTTTTTCGTAATTAAAATTTTTAGAATCCCTCTTCTCCACACAAATACCCAATCTCAATCTAAAATCCCAATCTATTTACATCAATCAACACTCAATTTTTTATTCAATATGTAAAACAATATACAACCCAACAGAAGCTCATAAGTGACACAAAACTGCACTAATCAGAATTTGAGTATTCACAAACTTTTAATATTTCATTTACATATTTTCCACCAATGAAAAAAAAAAAAAAAAAAAAAACTGCCCTTAGCCCTATCAATGGAAGGTGTTGGGAACTTGACAAGGATGCAAAAGAGAAATCTAACCCTGACCAAAATTAGATATACAAGATAAACTAACTCTGACTAAGAAATAAATATACGAGAAAAACTTTATTCAAATATAGGATAATATCAAATTTTCATATAATATTTTAAGGTCTTTGACCGGTGTTCTCGTCGTCCTACACCAACAAGTTTGAGAGTGAATTTTAGGCGAGGGTCAAGAGTTTTACATTTATAAAAACCACTACTACTTTTCACTATAAATATAGCTAGGGCGAGTAGGAATCGTCCCAAAGGATTGGAGTCGTACTTGGTTGTGGAATTGCAATTAGGGCTAGTAGGTCGAGTGATCAAACAATAGGTTGGTTGGTTAATTAGACTAGAGAGAAACTAAATTAAACTAAGTGACAACAAAAGAATGCAATTAAGAACAAATAAGAGAGAGAAGAGTCTTGGGGTTTAGAGATCACCACCAAGCAATGCATTTCTATACCATTGACAAATGACTAATGAGGGCAAATGGTGTGTTGCAATATTGGTGTGTGTGTGTGTTTGGTTGATTCAACAAGCAAGGATGGCTAGTCAAGCATGTATTGTCTAAACATCATGTAAAAGGCACAATATATCTAAGCAATAAAGTATATATTGTCTAAACAACATGTGAAAGGCACAATAAATCAAAATAAGTCATTAATCCTTTCATTAAGCTCACAATCCAAATACAACACAAGGTTAGAGACACATGCTACTTGCATTCAAAAGCATGGATCATCAAATAACAAGCATGGATTGTCCTCCCATCTAACACTACACTACAACTACACTACATCTACACTACTAACATGAAAATAAACTAAGGAAGAGGCACAATCCATCAAGGAATAGTGATGAGCACTGAAAAGTGCGTATTTAAACCCCTTAAACTTAGGCATTCTAGTACCTTTATCTATCTTACTTTACCGTTTTAGATTAATTTCGTATTATTTTCATTTTCAGGCACTTATCCCGAAAATAAACTAACTCAGCCAAATAAGAGCTTAATTGAAGCAATTCTGGGATTAATCAAAGAAAAGAGCAAAGTGGAGAAAGAAGGAAGCAAATGAAGCCGAAGGTGGCAAGCAGCAAAGTTCGATCGATCCAAGTTCAAGGTTCGATCGATCGAACAATGATCGATCTCAGCACTTTAAGATAGATCCAAGCCTTGACCCAAAAGCATAAAGTTCCAAAAGTTCGATCGATCCAACATATCCTTCGATCGATCGAACACTTTTGTCCTTATTCAAATGATTGATCCTATCCACAGTTGTATCACCCACTAAACACTTTTTGTCCTTTTCCCATAAATATCTCGGATTTGTCTTTTTCCAAAAAGCTCAGCCAGATGGATCATGGATCGATCCAGCCTAAGTTCGATCGATCTCACTCACTTTCGATCGATCAAACTTCCTCTAGTGCGAAAAAGTTAAAATTCTATCTCATTGAAAGTTGTCCTTTATCAAATCATTAGGGAATATTGTGTGCACGACCCCAGCTCATTTTGGGTGTCATTTTGACCTACCTATATAAGGATAAGGATTGCTTTTTCAAAGGGAGCCAACATTACTTTCATATCATCTCTTGGAGAGGAAGCTTAGAGGAGGAGGAGGTTAGAGACACCATTGGAGACTCTTCATCAATAAGGAGCAGATTTCAACCATGGAGTTAGCCTTTGAGGGTTGGAGCATCATCACTACGAGTGGCTAGATATCCTCTTGGGGCTAGAGTTAGCCCCAAACATACTTTCTATATCTTAATCTTGTGTATTATTGAGGGATTAGTGTTGTAATTAATGTTTTGACACTTTTATACATATAGATCTTGTTTATTCAATGATTTATGTGGTTTAATGCTTCCAATCAATCATTTCATTCTATCCATATGTCTATGTATGCTAGAATAGATGTTCATGTGTTTACCTCTATTTCTTGTGTAATTGATACATGTCTATGTGTATTAATGCTATGGATTTAGGGATTGTCTAAACATTGTGCTTAAAAGAATGCTCTTGTGATTTTCTAGATGGTCCATGCTCACTTCTTGATGGATTGTGCCTCTCCCTTAGCTTAGTTAGTTTAATTTCATGCCACTAGTTTAATTGTAGTGTAGTGATATCATAATTGTTAGATGAGAGGACAATCCATACTAGTTGTTTGATGTTCCATACTTTTGAATGCAAGTAGCATATGTCTCTAACCTTGTGGTGTGTTTGGCTTGTGAACTTAATGGAATGATTAATGACTTGCTAGATATGTTGTGCTTCTCAAATGCTATTTAGACAATATATACTTAATTGCTAGATATGTGCTTTTCATTTGTTGATTAGACAATGTATGCTTAAATTGGTCACCCCTGCTAATTGAATCAACCAAGCACATACACACAAATATTGCAACACACTTTACCCTCTTTAGTCACTAGTTGGAAGTGTAGAAAAGCATTGCTTGGTGGTGATCTCTAAACCCCAAGATCTCTCTCTCTCTCTTGCTTACTCTTGTTACATTCGATCACTTAGTTTAATTTAGTTGCTCTCTAGTTTACTTAACTAACCAACCATTTGTTGATCACTCGACCTACTGACCCTAGTTGCATTTTCACATTCAAGTACGACTCCAATCCCTTAGGACGATCCCTTCTCACTCATACTACATAGTATAGGTGTTAAGCGGTTTATAAATTTAACTGTGATGCCCACTTGACACTAATTTCCAATCTTAAGGTGTTGTGCATTATTTTGTGCACACCTGGGGGAGAGCCATCACCAAATAGGTATGAACCATCAAGAAAATCACAAGTGCATTCCATTAAGCACTATGTTTTGACAATCTCTAAATCTATAGCATCAATACACATAGACATGCATCAATAACACAAAATCTAGAGACAAGCACATGAACATCTATTTTAACATACATAGGCATATGGATAGAATGCAATGATCAATTGAAAGCATTTAACCACAAAAATCATTGAACAATCAAGATCTATATATATCAAAAAGTCAAAACATTAATTACAACACTAATCCCTCAATAATACACAAGATTAAGATATAGAAAGCATGTTTGAGGCTAACTCTAGCCCCAAGAGGATGTCTAGCTACTCATGGTGATGTTACTCCAACCCTCAAAGGCTAACTCCATGGAAGGAATCTGCTCCTTGTTGATGAAGAATCTCCAATGGTGTCTCTAGCTTCCTCCTCTTTTCTTCTACACTAAGAATAGCCTCTAAAGTTGTATCTACCAAATGCTAAGTGTCTCCAATGGTGTCCCTCTCAAAAAGTGCATCATATTCCTTTTATAGGTAGGTCAAGTGACACACAAAATGAGCTGGGGTAGTGCAAAGCATATTCCCCAATGATTGGATAAAGGACAACTTTCAATGAGCTGAAAATTTAACTTTTTCGCACTGGAGGAAGTTCGATTGATCGAACATTGGACTTGGATCGATTGAACATTGCTGAGATCCATCGAACTTAGGCTGGATCGATCCAACTGGTTGAGCTTTTTGGGAAAAGACAAATCCGAGATATTTTGGGAGATATTTTTGGGAAAAGGACAAAAGTGGTTAGTGAGTGGTACAGCTGTGAATAAGATTAATCATTTGAATAAGGACAAAAGTGTTCAATCGATCGAAGGGTAGTGTTGGATCGATCGAACTTTGGACTTTCTGCTTTGGGTCAAGGTTTGGATCTATCTTAAAGTACTGAGATCGATCAGTGTTCGATCGATCGAACCTTGAAGTTGGATCGATCGAACTTTGCTGCTTCCCACGTTTAGCTTCATTTGCTTCTTTCTTTCTCCACTTTGCTCCTTTTTTTGTTTAATCCCAGAATTGCTTCAATTAAGCTCTTACTTGGCTGAGTTAGCTTATTTTCGGGATAAGTGCCTGAAAATGGAAATAATACGAAATCAATCTAAAATGGTAAAGTAAGATAGATAAAGGTACTATAATGCCTAAGCTTAAGGGGTTTAAATATGCATTTTTCAGCACTCATCAGTCTTATTCATTCCCTATTTAACACTTGATATAGTATAATTTAGTATTTTTTTCAATTTGGGTATAAAAATAATCGTATTCTTTTGGAAAAAGGATAAAAAAAAAAAAAAACAACTTTGGGATTCGGTTTAACCCGTAAAAAAATGAGTAATGATTATTTTTAGAAAATTTAAAAATTTAAACATGTGTTTAAATTGTATTAGACCACATTAGTTGAGAGTAGGGGTTGTAATTCGTGTTCGTGTCGTGTCAATGTAAGGGTATTATACTAAATAGGTAAACCCAAACTCAACCTATTTAATAATTGTGTCAAGAATCCTCAATACTAACCCAACCCATTTATTAAACAAGTAAACGTATTAACCCGTTAATGACCTATTTATCAAAACGAGACATTTAATATTTAATTAAA